TCTCGTCCTTCAATAGCAAGAATGGTCGTAACCCTAACCTATACCGTAATGACTTGTTGCGCGATATGCTTGACGCTGAGGTAGCACTGAAAAGCGCTATTGAAGTTTCTGTGCTATTGAGACCTGAAAGGAACACAGAATGTACATTTTACAGACTCAATAAATGCCGAAAATACCCAAGTAAATTGCCTTACCTTGGCCAAGCGCAAATTGATGACGGTAACGACAGTGTGACGCTGAATTGAGGGGTTGCAACTTAAAAAGGGTCTTAAAGATTAAGACCCCTTTGATGACACAACAGTTTTATATGTAGTCCAAAGCAAAATATTTATGAATAAGACCCCTTTTCAGCTGAAACCTCTCATATATTTATCGCTATTTGTGAAGTTGTAAACAACAGTTCGCTAGGGAAACCACACGAAACACACTGTGTTAGCCTCAATCTGACGGCTCGACCAGTCGTTAGGGAGACTGTGTCCGAATTGTTGCGGGAACTCGAAAATGGAGTATTTGTTTTTTAATTCGTACCGCCACAGACATTTTTGGCCACTGGCGTGTGAGCCCCGAAGGGCCGAGCCGCCGATGTTCCGAGCAATCGCGAGCCCCGAAGGTCGGGGCTCGCTCGGAACATCGGCGGCTCGCCCCTTCGGTTCGGGGCGATCTACAAACAAGGGATTTGTATTTACGATCCTGTGACCTCGATATTGTCAYTCAAATTTAAAAATTTCATGAACTGATTGACTTGAAATAATAAATTTTAATAAATAGAAAAATTATGATGATTTATCCGCAATAAGTTCGTTACTAGAAGTTAAAGCGATGGGACAAGTTATTTGATTCAAGATGGCGACAAAAGTAAACATGCAATAACGAGAGCTAATTTTATCATTTCATAACTATTTTTATTACATACCAAGAATGTTTCTTGGGCCTCGGTTGATTTAGTGTTCTTCTTCTTCTTTTGAAGAAGTTCTGAAGCGGTGAATACTTTTTTTTGGTCCATCGTCAACCTCACTAGTGCTAGCAGCGGTACTCGTTGCGGTGCTCGTYGTCGACTCCGATGAAGAATCAATCTTGGTTTTCTCATTCAAAATGGTTAGAAGGGCCTTAATTTGCTCTTCACTTAAATTAGCTACAGCTGTTGAGCTCATATCTTGCSTTTTAGTACTTTTAAAAAGGTTAGAAGAACACGAACAATCAACTACTCTCTATCCTCTCTCAGAGATCAGAGAACGAACCGGTACTAATCGCACGAAGCAAGGGTACTTTGGCGGGCTKTCTTTCTGGTCCCTGATTGGTGCAATTTCATGCGCATGTGTGTTCCCTGCCGCAGGACAGAAGAAACGCGGGCTCTGGGTACGAGATTGATCGCGTCGTTCAAAACAGTCTATGGAGTCCATGGAGAAAAAAAAAAGYTCGACAACGTTCAGGGAAGGTTAGTTTGAAAATTAGAGTTACTGGTCATTATGCAAACAATACGTCCATAAGCTGACAGCCATTATCCAAATGCATAATCATAGCTTAAATTAATGATGATTTCTTTCTGACAGAAGAAATATCAAAATTATTATTCTCATTTACAAAAACTATGATTTAAAAAGCGTTTGCATATCAAGTGTGCATGTGTCCTATTCCATGCTATATATAATAGCCAGAGGGTAATGGTGAGGTTTCAATCGACTRAAACATTACTTTCAAGTAATATTTTTTTATTATATGTAGTCATGGGATTATGATTAAATATAACTTGGCAGGATTATTCATTATTATTATTTTTTTCATAATTTCAGGTACATACATAGAATCGCTTGACAAGACTGTTTATTTAGGAAACAGAAGATACTTGCCAAAAGATTGTGAAATGCGTCTAGACACAGAGAAGTTTCCAGACAGGATAATAGAGAAGAGAGAAGCCCCACCAAAGAAAGAGTTTTCAGACATAATGGTTGATTCTGTTGCATATGAAAGTGCACCAAATGCAGCTCAAGCAAGGAATATTGCTCGTGGGTCTGGTGTGAAGTCATGCTATAGTTTAATGCTTCTACCGGATCATGACCGAACAACTCAAGCATTTCCTGATGTTATGCACACAACCA